ACGCTTTATAGAAGACTGGTGAATTAATAGCATCCTCCACGTTTGCAACAAACTGTTTTTGCGCATCGAGCGCTGTCCAAGAACCAATTATTCCCGTTCCCAAGAATTGCCCATACATAAGTTCTTATTGATTCATTAACTCTTACAACTCCTGGGCTAGTAAACTTATTTTCTGTTTTATCATACAGAAATTCATTCCAAGCGTTTGCGGTATCGTTTAGTTGCACAAATGTTGTAACCATATAAGCTAAACCACTCTTAAAACTCATAAGATCTCCTCTCCAATCGTCACTCGAAAGTTCCCAGCCATGATTAAGATTATGCAAACTTACAAAAAGATTGTTTTTCTGTAACAACTTAAATGGATCGAATGGTTGATGAGTTTCTTTTAACTAAATCATCATTTTCTTCTTTAACAGTTTTTTAGTCCGCTGTACGGAACACCTAGACCATGGTTAATTCCTTTAATACGCCAATCTTTACTCGTAGAAACATTAAATTCCTGACAAATATGTTGATACGCGAACCTATTGTACGGATTATTTATGGAATTCCACGCTCCCTACTGCGGTAATGGGGCACTAATTTCTTTAAGAAAACGTCTAATCTGATAGTACACGTGAAATGATAAAACAGACTTATTTAGTTCAAATCCGGGAGCATAAAGAGATACACCACATCCTGTTGTGGCACACCATACGGCAAAGATTAACTGGTTCTGCCAAAATTGCATCGGATTTTGGAACCAATCATGCACCATTTTATCACTAGTTGCCGTGACCCTGTATTTTTCAAAGATATCAGGGAATTCAACAAAAAAAGTAGCACCAGAGGCACTTACTAAAATCGACTGATTAGTAATGTAAGTTGATTTCATATTTAAGTTATGATATAGTATCTTTGTATATTTAATATGTATCTTACACTCCCGGGAATAACAAATGGTCAGTCTATTCAACTGCTTCATACTATCGATAACTCGGCTGGTCAACTTGAAGTCGCTCTCTGCGATGTAACGTATTACCCGCAGTAGACCAATATAAGTGCTGCGAGAAGAAATATTCAGATATTTATAAATAGAAAACAACACATTATACCTGATGGGTATTACAGTGTATGCTCACTCAATGATGAAATTTTTAAGCCTTTTGGAGCTAGTCTCACAAAAAATGAGTCAAATGGGATGCTGATTTTAAACACTGGAGAAGAGAGTATAATTCTTGCCCCGATCTTAGCAGAAGCACTTGGACCTAATATTGTAGGAATATTAATACCACCCAACAAAACATTGCAGGGAGTTAAAGTACCCGATTTAGTTCCCTATATAGAATTGTGCATCTATCTTGATCAGATCAGTACAACGGATAATATTCAACTCGAAAGTCCTTCAACTCTGCTGAGAGCTATTTCAGTCAAAGAAGAAAAATACAATGGCGATAGAAGGGAATCCTTTTCAACATTACAATATAAAAAAAATGAAGCAGGGTATTATTTCAGACCTCAAAATTTCTGCATTAGATCAAACATTAACCTGTACATATAGGATATTTGAGTGTGACACTCCATATTATAAATAATGGTTAATTCATCAGGCCCTGGAACGCATAACCTTAGTCAATGTAATACAATTGCGCTTTCTGATCCTGGAGACACAGAGGGATTCGGTAAACCCGGTACCAATGGCAAGTTATACGCTTTACACTTACAATATAATGTATACAGGCGGAAAGAAGTTACATTCACAGGTAATCTAGGAGATTTAAGTGATGTCTACGTTAGTAGACTCAATAAAAACACTTCGTACAATCTTACGATGATAATAAATGGACTATGGTCGAAGCAAAAATCGAGTGGCTACTGAATATCGTCATTACCCCACCATATGTGATGATGGGTAACTAAGATAATAAATAGTGGGGTCGTACTAGGAGCTTATATCCCATCAAAACGAAAAAGTGTGTTAGTCTCTCCCCTGCCAGAAAACCCAGGTCATGTTATTGAGTCGTCCGGCAGTAAAAAATGTTAGTTTAAATTTGGTTACTGAATTCAATGATATTAAACATAACTTGAATGCTATACCTGCTCTTTCTACAATTATTATTGGAGTCTTGTTTGGAGATGTGTAGCAGGGCGTGGAGTCGTCCCACAGATGACATCCTTACCTTGTCAGCTTGCTGACGGGGTTAACCTCTTTGGTCATGTGGACAAGGCGTCCGACCTCTGATCAGAAGGTCCGTGGTTCGAATCCCATCACGGGACTCGGAAATTTTATGGCCGCTACATTGGCGCCCAACGTGGGGCTGAGCACGTTCATATTAAATTTGAGCAAAATAAGCCTCAGTACCCTACTATGCGGCCCGGGACGTGCCTTCTGTTGACGGGGGAGTATGTAGCAGGGCGTGGAGTCGTCCCACACATGACATCCTTACCTTTTCAGCTTGCTGACGGGGTTAACCTCTTTGGTCATGTGGACAAGGCGTCCGACCTCTGATCAGAAGGTCCGTGGTTCGAATCCCATCACGGGACTCGGAAATTGTATGGCCGCTACAGATGCACCAGAAGATGCCTTCGAGATATTACCAGGTCTATCAATTAAATGGCTTAAGATACACGAGCGTCGACGTTGCAGTATTATTTATATGGGAGCATCACCCGTTGCAACCCTTGAGGGGGTCCAAGTTAATAAAAGTAATAGCATTTCTCTTACTAAGATATTTATGCCGCATAATATACATTTAATTAGGTTGATGTATACTCTCAAAACATTGAAGCAAGACCAATTTAAGACTAATATATGATATAATAATATACAATATGGGTTTATATCCGGTGCTCGATGAAGCATCTGAAAAGATGGATACTGTTGATGGATATCGTACTTGACACGGAAGTAGCCGCCGGAGTCCCAGGACTGGCCGGAATAGCGATAAAATTTATTTCTCGTAAGTTGCAAAAGAAAGCATTAAAACATGATAATATTCGGATACTTGCCGAAGCAAAGTTGAACAGCATTGAGGATATTTCAACAGTACTGGCTGATTGTAAGATACCAGAGGAAGAGTCTCGTTTAGTGTTGTCAGAACTAACCAAATACAATACAATGAAGCAGGAGATTCGATCAAATTCTCATAAGACCAAAGGTATTAGCGAAGACGAGAAAAAAAGTTCATAGAACAGGGGAGACAACAAGCACGTCAATTATTCCGTGCCAAAACCAAAGAACTGGTTGGAGATTAAAAATAGATTGTTTTCTGTCGTTGGATCACACCACAATAATTTAGACGAATGATTACATAAGTATATAATAATGGAGAATTACAAGCCAATCAAATGGCGAGAATTACCACAGGGTATATATTATATCACTGATGTCAAGCCAACCAAATACGGTCATCAATTGTTTCTTTCCAATTTCGAAAAAGAGTATATAGTCTGGTATCCTAGTAAAATGAACGAAGAACTTTGTAAAAATGTTGAATATAACTTTGTTCAAAATAATGGTATGCGTATGAGTAAAAATAATAGAGAATATTTTCCTTACAATTTAGTTTAATATCATGACGATGGTTGAATCGCATCATCATTTTTACATAAAAACTTCCATCTGTAGTAGCAGTATAGGTATATAAATCTGGCTCCAGTGGGGTTGCGTCAGACCCATCATTACCTATAATACTGGACAAGGTAATGTTAAATTTTAGAAACTTTGACAAAAAATTACCCAGATATTCAAATGACAACTTTTTATGCAATGTTACTTGGGATGACGTTTCTTTTGCGGTTCAGTATATTTACCGGAGTCGTGGTCAATTGGAATAATTGTTCCATTACACAAGCATTGAGATCCACATTGTCTTACTTACATGTACTTACTTACTTACTTACTTATATTGGAGATTTTACGTGCGCTTTCCGACTGCAAGCGTATGTCGCACACGGTACACATTGTCCATCCAACTACAGAGGTATATCAACTCTAAGTGTAGCTCGGTTGCTTCGTCATGTTCATACAAACAATGGCGGGTGTGGCTTCAAGAAAAAAAAATGAATGGGAGGGTGGAGCGTGACGTCACACGGTAAATCCGTTGAAGGGAATTGACTATTTGACCATTATTGAACGATAGAAAAGCGCCAGTTAGCAAGTTTTCTGTTGTCCCTAATACTTGCATTAGAAGCTCTTAATCCTCCAAAATGTGTCCCCTATCACTGCAGGGAGAACAAACCAGGAGGGGCGCAGCCATGCACTGTTTTATTGTACGATAAACAACGCATTATTATGTTATGCTGTAGCATAATAGTAGCCGTTTTCGCTTCAGGCGAGGTGACGTTATCGCTCGGTGAAGTTTTGCTGAGCTGCCGTTTTAGCTATATCCCACCACGAGTCGTTTATTTCTTATGAGATATCAACATTATGTACAGTCACTTTAAGGATGATGATACTAGCTTTACAACGTCTAAAATGTACAAGCTTTAAAACGATTTACCCGTATTTACATCATGATGACTCCCTCAATAGAATCCTATATCGGCATTTTATGCACAGGTGGGTATTTCCTGCATATTATCATATTCCCCTCACGTCGATTACCTGTATCTTTTCTGAGGATTGTTTTGTATCTTTTCACGTGTTTCCTCTGTATCATTATGGGCATAATAGATATGTAAATCCTCATGATCCTCACTATATCTACACACGGGCATAACCATATGAGGCAACATTACCATAAAAGTTTCTTACAACACCTTTATTTCAAGTCAGAGGCCACAGGCCCATAGAACATAACATTACAGAAATACAATTACTGATAATGTGACTTATACAGTTTCATTGCATTCAATATGAATATTGATAGCTGTACAATAGCAGGTTCATGAGTAGATGACATCAGGCGAACAAAGGATTCCAGTGACGGACTTACCAAGTATTTAGGATCAATTTATCGATATCTTAAATATAGTTTCTTAGTTGTTAAGAATAAATTCAAAAGCAACACACTGACCGTCTTTTTCATGTGGCGCGAGGTGAGCGCTTCCTGTAGTTTACAACGCGCTGCCCTCTGTGAAATGCTTCGAGTGTGGTGACATGCTCCGAGAGGCTATGTGGGGAGGATTTCTCACCACCACAGTACTTATCACCGGTGTCTTCGCTCACTGCCTACAACCAGAGACCATAATCTATTATATGGTCTCTGTTACAATTTAGGGGCACACAATTGCAAAACCTTCATCCCTATACCGCAATGAACTGATCCAGTCAGCAGTAACAAAATAACATACAAAATAATTTGGACTAGTCCACAATTAATTATAGGTGTGCATTTTTCAATGTGTATATGTTACAGGAAATATGAATAATCAGGGAATATGTGTATTCCCTGAAATTTTCAGGGAATATATTTAATGTCTGATTCACTCAGGGAATATACATATCCCTAAATTTTTCAGGTATTATACATATTCCCTGATTGAGCATCATGTTTGTTAGACATATTCCCTGAAATTATTTTTGAGGCTCTTGATAAAACTTGATTAAAAAAAATCGAGAAATAAATTTATTTGACATGACAACAAATACCTTTCACTTAACTTAACAATTAGTCTTAACTGTAATCAAAACATAGGATAGAAATGAGATTAAAATACTCAATATGAATACGACAACCCCTCCTCTCAAGCATCAGTGGATTTCAAGTTTGGCTATATAAGAGCCTCAAAAGTAATTTCAGGGAATATGTCTAAAATACTTGTTGTAAAATCAGGGAATATGTGTAATACCTGAAAATTTTAGGGATTATGTATATTCCCTGAGTGAGTCTTGCTTGACAACGGTATAGGGATCTATACCGAAACGTCGCTTTTCCCCTCTACACAGCATAACACGATGTTCGATATTTCAAGGATTCACTTTGTTTGGTTGTCTCGAAACCCGGATAACTCGAACGTTTTTTTTCAGGTCCCCACGAGCTCGACACAAGGACTATATATCTATATCATGAGGTTTCAGTCAACTAATCTTCACTGTGGTTGTTTTTCTTATATTTGTATTACCATTGGAGTGGGCATCTTCAGGTAAACCTATATGTCTGTTTTAATAAGTAAGTGAGTATTGTTTTACGTCACTTTTAGCAATATGCCAGCAATATCACGGCGGGGGACACCAGAAATGGGCTTCACACATTGTACCCATGTGGGTAATCAAACCCTGAGGGTTAAGGGGTAGCTAGACACTAGTAAACAATCCTTGACGCAATATGCGACTACAAGGCATCGGGAGGTCAAACTGCATATCATTGTTCCCTAATGGCGATCTTCGTTAGATTATTTCCTGGCCGCCGTGATGTAGCTGGAATATTGATGACTTCATGTACTAACCCGGGTCCCAAGGTAGTGTTTATTATGTATTAACAATATTAATTATAGTTAATAATAAATGGATATTTATGATGAACTATATCCTAAGTTTGAGCATGCCCAAAGCGCTGCAATATACCAATGTGTGAAAAGTATGCTCAACCGCAAAAGAAACGCAAGTTGTACATAAAATGCGAACAACATTTAGACCATAAAAGATATGTAGATAGTATTAAGAATTGATAACAGAGAAAACATTTGATAACAAATGGGCGTTGATTGTTTGATGACAACCATCCGTGTTTTTTTAATAATCCTCCCGAAATCAGGGTACCCCAAACAGAAAATTGATAAGTGTCCGTCGTGACGATACATCATTCTTGACATATTCATCACGAAATTAGCAGTTGTAGCGAATGTAGCGAATTTCAGGATGAACTATTTCCAGGGGTGCTGAACTATTTTCTTTTTTGTATGCATAATATACTTAAAAAATATTATGCTTGAAAAGTTATGTGGGTTGTTTTGTTTACAAGCATAGTGCACCAATTTCTTTAATTAGTTGTTGATTGTTTTTATCTTCGGCCCGTTTCAATATGCATGTGAGAAAATTCGGAACTTATGAGAATACATCGAGCACTATTATAGTGTGTCTGTGTGTGTCTAGTACCCACACTTATCTGTGTCTGTGTATGTCTGGAGCACACTCTTACTTGTGCCTAAAAGCGTGGCCAAGAGCGTGGCCAAGAGCGTCCAGCTAGGTACTGATTGTTGTAAGAACTATATTGCCAGCTGGATGGAAGTATATAATCATAGAAAGTACTTGTAATATGTATAAGGAAATATAGAATGTTTTGTCTCGATTCTTGAACCATCAATATGGGAACATGTTACATACACAACACTTCCATAAATATTCATTGATACATGTACAGTGTGACTAATGTGAACTTCTGTGAAGACCTTGTCTCAATCAACTGAAAAAGCGATCTCGGCTTAGTGTCATAAACATAAACCAAAAAAGGACGTGTATTCTAGATGCAGATTCTCGGTTTCAAGGCCCCGCCACCCCACCCCACCCTACCCCACCCCACCCCACCCCACCCCACCCCACATACCCCATAATACTTCCATAAATATTCATTGATACATGTAGAGTGTGACCTCACCCTCACCCCACCTCACCCCCACCCCTCGGGTTTTGTTGAGAATGTAAACACTCTGGGTCGGGTATCGTATTTATACATCCTCAACTTAACCCGAGGGGTGTGGTTTATACTTAACGAATGGCCTTTTCTAGCTCCATTTAGAACTCGTACGGACGATAATAGATAAAACCACACCCTGAGGATGTATGCTTTCACCGCTGCTGTTTTCTATGTACAAAGACGAACTAGTAAATGTTATGAAGAGTGATGGCACTGGTGGTATCTTCATTGATTGTGATATTGATGAAATATTTTTGCTTTTATTTGCAGATGATGTGTCCATACTTGCTGATTCTATTATAAATCTGCAAAACAAAATAACTAGTTTAGAAAGATACTGCTATAAATGGGGACTAACAGTAAACATTCATAAGAGTAAAGTTATGGTATTTAAACATGGAGGGCCTCTATCCCAATATGAAAAATGGTTTATTAATGGTGAACAGCTTGAAGTGGTGTCATACTATAAATATCTTGGTATTCTGATTTCATGTAGGAATATGTTTACTCAAGCATGAGTGACTTAAGTTAAACAGGCAAACAAGGCTCCAGTGCCAATTAAAAGAATGATGGTACAATATCCAGACGTAAACGTTGATACATACTATAAAATCTTTGATTGTAAAATGTTACCCATTTTGCTATATGGTGCGGAAATATGGTGTACAGAAGTAAGAAAAAGCATTGGAATTATACAAACTAAATTTTGTAAATATGCTTTGACAATAGGATACAAATCTTCAAATGCTGCTGTATTAGGTGAACTTGGAAGAACGAGAATGTATGAACATGGTGTTGTGAAAATAATTAAGTACTGGATTAAACTATTAAGAATGCCTCTGGGTAAATATCCAAAACATTGCTATTTCATGCTGTGTAAATATGATGAATTAGGTTAAAAAAATTGGGTTTCATTTGTAAGATATACATTGTTTAGTTATGGTTTCGGTTATGTATGGTTGATGCAAGATGTCGGAGATGTTTTTATTTATACATTTAAGGAAAGAACAAGAGATTTGTTTATGCAAGTATGGTCAGATTGTATATCTAATTCACCAAGGCTAGATTTATATTGCACTTACAAATCCTTACTACAACCTGAAAAATATCGATTAAGACTGTAAATTTAAGAAGATCTTTAACAAAATTTAGATGTTGTTTAAATGATTTTAAAATACATAAATATAGAATGTCTAGTGACCATGACTTTGCTGACAGTCTATGCACTTTCTGTAAAGAAGACTTAGATGATGAATACCATGCACTATTTATATGTCCAGCTTATACTAACTTAAGGATAAGGTATTTGCCCTCGTATTATTATCAATATCCTACCATGCACAAGTTTGTATTGTTACTCACAACAAATGACGACAACATTTTATTTCAGCTAGCTCTTTATTTAGATAAAATGTTTAAACTTAGAAATTCCAAAGCCAATATTAACTGAAGCGCTCTGTCACAATATGTCAAATATTATCCAACCATCTGTACAATTGGCCTCATGGCCAGACTATACGAAATAAATTCTGTTCTATTCTGCCCGACACAAACACAATCTCTCCTTGTACCATCTGCTGCACAGTGTGTTTGGGTCGATCAAGTCAATCAGTATGTAAGGAATTGCTGTATGTGTTCGAGATCAAATTTCCATAATGTTATAGATTATGTTGAAAACATAATTTCTCAATTACAGCTCATATGTACATTAAGGAAGGTTTAGGAAATTGGATTTGACAAAGATTGAACTGCCCGTGTGAAGGGCATGTTGTCTGATCACAATTGGTTGTATATTGGAGTCGTTTAAATCATTACCTGCCATGTAGATACGTAATAGTATATCTTATCCGATTAACACGTGCTGGATATTGGCAGAGAAGAATGACTTTCGTCGAATGAAATCTGATACGTTAATGAAAACGTAGAAAGCTCGGTTCTTTGCAAGCTGTTCGAAACCGTTTGCATTTCGAGAGGTCTTTTACTCCAACCTTTAACTTGCACCGATTAACTTGAACTATGGCGTCCCTGCTAATATACACTGACGGATTCTACAACACATTCAGATGAGTTGATATGAATAAAAGAAACGAACATTGTTTCCTTCAGTTAATGCATCTTGTGATCAAACATTCAACCAGTTACCGAGATTTGCTTACTCATCTTTGCCTCAACAGAGTCCACAATATTCATCAATCCAGTCATCATCTAGTAGCGTATCTAGAGGAGGGGTTCTGGGGGTCACCACTCCCCCTCCCTCTTTAAGTGTAAAAACTCCTACCACGATATATAAAAATGTTGATTTTTCTGTTAAAATAAAATCAATAATTGTTCACATATTGTTTTTGTGATTCTTGGGATAGGCGTTCGGGCAGCCCCCCAACACACATACACACACACTGAAGGTTGAAGCTACAAATGGCCAATGTAGACCCCGACGCTCCCCCCAAATTAATAGCAAAATTGTATTGGTCTGCATGGATTGGGATTCATTTGTGTGGAAAGAATGAGGTACTGCGGAAAGATGGTGAAAATTCGCAAAAGCACAACCACATGAGAGCCTGGTGCCGAAACACACCAACATGACGTTCACGTGCAC